CGGAAAAAGCCAGGCAGGGCAAGGGCATGTAGGGCAGGGGTGGACAGGCCCAGGATGGGCAAGGGACAGGCAGATGGGGGACCGGGACAGGCAAGGATGGGCAGGGCCAGGCCAGGCCATGGTGCTCAGGCAGGGAAAGGCTGGGCAGAGACGGGCAGGGATAGGCAGGGCACCTGGGAGGGATGGGAACTGGGATGAGGGATGGGAACTGGGATGAGGGATGGGAACCGGGATGAGGGATGGGAACCGGGATGAGGGAGCAGCTCCCCACATCCCCCAAAGGGCTCTGAACCCCAGCAGCTCCCCCCGCATCCCAGGGCACCCCCAGAGGCTGCAGCCCGATGGCCTCATGCTCTCCCTGCCACACGGGTCCCCAAGCATGGGGCCACCTTGTCCCTCCGGGGGGTGGTTTTTCACCCTGGCATGTGTTTTCACCCGAGCCTGGCTCCGGGCAGCCCCGCAGGGAGCTGGCACAGCACCGCCCAGACAGATGGGGAAGGACGTGTTTCCACTAATCTGCCCCAATCTGGATTATTTTTCAAAATAAACCTGCTTTCCCAGCTGTTTTAAGCAAGTTTTTGGCACATTGGGGACAGGTGGGATTCTGGGGATGGGGGAGAAGCTGGCAGGGGTGGAGGCAGTGGAGGTGATAACATGTCTGCTCAGTGTCCCCACGCCACCAGGCTCCCATTGCTCTCACTGGGGACCAGAGCATCTTTGAGGTGGTTTTGGCAGCGCATCACCCAGCTCACAGGGCTGGGATCATCCCATGGTGCTTACTGCGGAGGGGGTGTGTGTGGGGGGTGTCTTTGCTGAAGTTTTCCCCTATCAAAAGCCAATAAGAAATAATTTATGTTGAGGGACTGGGGTCAGCCCCAAAACCCATCTCTCCCCACCCCATCTCCCATCCGAAGCAGAGCTGGGATCTTCTGCAGTTCCCGTCGGGATAAAACGGCACAGAAAATGCTTCTGGCCATGCGTGTCCAGGATGATCGATGTCAGCCAGTTTCTGGCGGTTTGGGGGTCTCTCAGAGAGCCAGGGTGAGCAGGATCAACCCAGGGCAGATCAGTATTGGTCCCTCATCCTGCATAAGGATGCCACCGGCACAGACAACCCTGCAGGGCCGCTCCACCCTCCCAGCACGTTCCCCAAGCACTCGCCAGCCTGACATTTGCAAATACCTATTTTTAGATGATCTTCTTCACTTGCAATTGTTCGGGCTCCTCAGCCTCAGAGGACACATCTTCACACAACAAAACCAGTTCCCTCCCTCCAGTCCTTCCCCCTCCTGTGGTTTTACACCAGTGTGACTGGCCCCAGCCCTTGGCCCAGGCCTCGGTAATGCTGCCACATGACATGGAGCTGCTCACAGCTCCATTCCCTCCCCATCATGGTAAAATTTGCACAAACCTTCCTGCTTCAAAGGAAGCCCCTGAGAAGGACCTTTCTGTGATGCTCTTTTGGGGAGGTTTCCATGTTCTTCACGAAGAGGAGCCAGAATCATCTCTGTAATGCTCAAGTGAAGAACCTGCACCCCAAAGCCATGGAGATGCTCCTCTGCATGGGCACAATAAGCACCCAAACCCATGGAGATGCTGCTCTGCATGGGCAGGATGGGCCCCTGAGCCCCCAACCCATGGAGATGCTGCTGTGCATGCACAGGATCAGCCCCTTTCCATCCCCATGGGACAGGTTTTCGGAGCAGAAGAGCAGCCTTTCCCCTTGGGGTGGCCCAGACTAGCAGCCTCAGAGGTGGGTTTCCGTACACCACTTGCAGCCACCTGGCAGATAGCTCAGGCTTGGGAGACAGGAGAGGAGCTGGGGACCATGAGTACCCCGGGAGCTCAGCTCGGTCCTGCCCAGCTCCCTGTCCCTTGCAGAATGAGGGGACATCCCTGTGGTGCAGCAGTCACTGGGTGACACTGTGCCATTGGGGTAAGCAACCCGAAGGCTGGGGCGACCCAGGATTGCAGCCATGGTCCCGGTGGATTCACCTCCTGCCCTGTCCCTGCACCATGCCTGTGGCTTCTCTGCCCAGGGCTCGGCAGGAGCGAGAGCTGCCCGGGCTGCCCATGCCCAGCACAGCGATGGCACTGAGGGAGAAGCATCACTGCCACCCCTTTGCCGAGGAGCCCGTAGCCCGCTGGGTCGGTGACCCACAAGCAAGGTCCATCACCCGTGGACCAGAGCTGGTGCTCAGGTGGGCTTTTAGGTGGTGTTTCTCTCTTGCTCTGTGCCTCAGCTTCCCTTTTGGGGAGCAGCACAGTTGAGGGCCTCCCCTTGACCCCAGGGACCAGGTTTTGGGGGCTGCTGGCCCTGCTCTGACCCCAAGCCCTTTGAAGGGACTTCAGGTGCTCTAGCATGCTCCATACATTGCTGCATGCACATAGAAATCATTCGTTAGCTTCCCCCCCTAATGTGATGGGAGGGAGCAACCCTCATCACTCCTTGCTGTCCTGACCACGGGGGATACACAGACACCAGCCCACGGCCCCCAGAAGCACCTGGGGCACCAGCTGCGTCCTCCCATGGTGAGACGGATCCAACCAACAGGACAAAACCATGATACCGGCTCCGGAGATGGCTCACAAGCCCCGGGAGAGCTGAGCCCAAGGGACAGGCCATGCGGGCTGGGCTTGGCACGTTGGTAATTAATTTAGTTACTAAATTAACATTTAAATTGACAAGACCTGAATGCAAAGCCAGGCAGTGCTGTCTGCCAGGACTCACCAGCCTCCAGCGGCCGTGGCTGCTCCCAGCCTGATGTCCCTGGGTCCCGGTGCTCGGCCAGCAGCAGGGATGGACCCCAGAGCCTCCACGCGATGCTCCGGTCCCCCAAACCACTCACACATGCCCTGGAGGAGGCTGTGTCGTGCTGTTCCTGGAAGAGATGTCCCCGTTTAGCAGGGCTAAGGGCAGCAGAGCCTGACCCCCGGGGTCCTCCTCTCCCCGCTGAAGCATGCCCCGCTGGGGCTGGGGTGCAGAGCAAACCCCGGGGGTGCCCAGCCCGTCCCTTGGCTGTCCCCGCACCTCGTGGAGGGGTGCAGCAGGCCAGCTGGGGCTCCGTCCCTCTGCACGGGCTTGTGCTGACATCCAGCGCCGGTTCCTGCAATTACAGAC